ATATATTATTTGTAATTTGTAAGAAATGTATTGTGTCCCTACATATTTACTAAATCATTTATTTATATCAATATGAACCTATGTATATTTACTTTATTGTTGGATTATAGTCCAAAACTATATTATTTTATTTCTTAAATTCTTCCAGCTTTGGCCATCAGAAGCTCTTTCATGTTGGCTCCTGGCCCCTTTGACATACCCTCGTCCTTTATTTCTTTTGAGTAATTCCTTATTTTCTGGTATTACAGGACTCTAGGTTTGTTTTGTATTTCCCCTGTCCTGGGTCTAGAAGTAGTCCTTTCTCTAGAAGCCCTATTCCTTTAATGAGAGATGGCATTAGATACCAAGATCTGAGACAGGTGTGGTGACACATTCTTGTAATCTCAGTGACTGAGGAGGCTGAGGCAGGGGAATTGCAAGTTCAAATCCAGCCTCAGCAACTTAACAGGATCCTAAGCAACTTAGTGAGACCCTGTCTCAAAAAATTAAAATCCATTATTATCCTATGTGCAAACATGATTATATGACATATAACTCTACAGCATGTACAACTAAAAAATGAGAATTATACTTAATTTATGTAGGATGTGTCAAAACACATTCTACTGGAGCTGGGGTTGTGGCTCAGTGGTAGAGTGTTTGCCTAGGATGTGTGAGGCACTGGGTTCAATTCTCAGCACCACATATAAATAAATAAATAAAATAAAGGTCTATCAACAACTAAAATATATTTAAAAATGCATTCTACTCTCATGTATAACTAATTAGAACAAATAAAAATATATTTAAAAAGCCAACAATAAATAAATAAATGTAAAAGGACTTTGGATGTGCCTAATGGTTAAGCACCCCTGGGTTCAATTCCCAGTACCAAATGGATTAAAAAAAAAAAGCAAGATCTGAGCACAGGATATATCCATTGCAATTAGGGTATTATTGCTATTAGGCTCTCTCAGTCAACAGAGTTAAGTAACATATGAACATATACTAACTCATGAACATATTCATATCTACAATTATTTCTGTATTTTTCTATCTGTGTATGAATAGTAAGTTAAACTTGAATCCAAAGTATAACCCTTTTGTGTGGATTCCCTGATTGTTTATAGGAGGAATTAGCAATATTTGAGTTTTTTTTAACTTTAATTTTGAATGAAGAAAAATTCTACCTGCAATAGGACACATTCTATATCTTCACCGTCCTCATATCTAGGGCAAATCAGCAGCAGAAATCAGGCAGAGGACAGAGTGGTTTATAGGGAGAATTACAGAAATAGAAATCACAAGGCATTAGCCAATCCCAAAAAACCAAAGGCTGAATGTTTTCTCTGATAATCAGATGCTGATCCATAGTGGGAATGGGGGTAGGGAAGAATGAAGGAATTTTGGATTGTGCAGAGGGGAGTGAGGGGCTGTGGGGATGGGAAGGACGGTGGAATGAGATGGACATTATTATCCTATATTCATATATGATTACACTACTGGAGTGACTCTGCACCATGTACAGCCAGAGGAATAAGAAGTTGTGCTCCATTTGTGTACAATGTGTCAAAATGCATTCTACTGTCATGTATAACTAATTAGAACAAATAAAAAAAATTGTATCAGGAAAAAAAAAACAGAAATCACAAGAAATACACTTAATGACCAAAATAAATTTGGGTAACATTCAATTAAAAATATATTGTAGTTCCCGCTGAGTATGGTGGCACATGACTGTAATACCAGCAACTTGGGATGTTGAGGCAGGAGGATCACAAGTTTAAAGTCAGCCTCAGCAACTTAGTGAGACCCTGTCTCTAGATAAAAAAACTTAAATAAATAAATAAGAGGGTCGGGATGTGGCTTAGTGGTTAAGCTCCCTGGGTTCAATCCCTTATCTCTCCCACTACCAAATGAAGGCCAAAAGAAGTCATGTTAGAATGAAGTAATGCACATGGAAGTCCCCCTGAGGAGGCGTAGGAAAGAAGCAAGTTGAATTCCTTAAGGCTTATGGAGTGGTCAATGGCAGATGAGTTTGTGGCCCCAATCCCCACTCCCTACTCTCAATTTGTATAGTTAGACTCATCACTGGAGTCTTGAATAGAAATCTGTTTACAGCTTCCATCAACATCAATTTGTGTTTGTTAGATTCAGGGTACGGGAGTCAAGTCGTATCCATAATAGGGAGATAAATTATCCCTGCTTCCTCCAAGGTAACTGGAATCATTTGGGAATATCTTCCTGTGAAAGGGATTAATTTACAGATGATAGCCCAACTGGAGGAACATAAAGCTAATGCTGCTTCTTTCTGTTTCTCTAGGAGAAAACCAAAGACATATTTTGTGTAAGATAGACAGGAAGGAAGGGAGAAAGGAAAAAATGATTACATTAGGTTTTCAATGCAATGACTGTGAGATCAAAATTATCTTAATAGTACTGCAGAATAATTCTTTTATTTCCTATTCATGCAATGATGCAGCTTTCTGATCATACATAGTTGGAAAGAGATATTTTGGGCCACCTTGACATCTGTGAAAACACCCTGTCTTGCTAATTCCTAAATAGCTTGCTTACAAGTAAATGGAATCATAGTAGACAAGAGTGGAGTGGTCATGTGAAACACTGCAAGGATGTGTTGCAATCAGTTCTTAAAAGAAGCCACTCATTTAAGATAGGGAAAAAAAAATAGGAAAGAGAATAGTTGCTTGTGGTCATGTACTTCCAAACACACTTGATATGCATACAGTGTGACAGATAGAGTATGTTCTTTGAAAAGGAAGAGGACAATGAGACCCAAAATGCAGGTGAAGATGATGTCCTTTCCTATCCAAAGCTCACAAACTGTGGTAGGAAGAATTCTAAGATGCACCCCCCCCACACACACACATACACCAAGTTTCATCCCCTGATGTACACAACGCCCTGAGTGTGGGCAGGCTATGTGAATATGATGAGCTGTCACTCCTATGTTTGTATTTGGGGGAGGGGTACCCGGGATTGAACTCAGGGGCATTGTGGGAAGCCACTTCTGAGCTATTTAGCGTCTTCACTCAGCCTTGAGCCAAGGAGATTTTGGTCTGGCATTGCACACTCTTTTGTGGCCCCTCCCACTTAAGGGATTGCACAATGCATGTGACTTCAGTCTTTGCTGGGCTAGGAAGGCTGCTCTTGTAGCTCCGGAATTGGGCATGACCCATTGGGCCTGGACTGCTCACCTCCTACCTTATTTGGCAGAAGAACATTCTATGGAATACCTTTGAAGTTTGTCCCATATATAATAAAGCAAATGTGAGTTAGCTCTCTCTTTCCAGTGTGGAAGCTAGACCCCTAAGCTAGAGCCCTCCTGCCCTGCTTTTCAAAATTACTTCCGTGTCGTGTGGTCTTTTCATTGCCTTCTTTTTCTTAGCCTTATTTCGCAGCTAGTTTACTTCATGCAGAGGAACCCCAAATTCCATTGCCCGCGCAGGACATAGGCAAGAGGGCATTCATCCAGTGAGCCACATCCCCAGTCCTATTTTGTGTTTATTTAGAGACAGGGTTTTGCTGAGTTGCTTAGTGCCTTACTTTTGCTGAGGCTGGCTTTGAACTTGAGATCCTCCTGCCTCCTGAGCCGCTGGGATTATAGGTGTGCCCCACTGCAACTGGCTGATTGTTATTATTTTACATGGTAAAGGTAAAGGGATTTTTGTAGATGTAATTATGGTCTCTGATCAGTTGACTTTGAGTTATCAAAAGGGAAACTACCTTGGGCAGACCTTATCTCATCAGGTGAACCTTTTAAAAGAGTCCAGAGATCAGAGATAGAAGTCAGAGACTTCTATCTTTTGTTTTGTTTTTTTTTTTTGATCTGTGTGCCTTGCAAAAATCTAGCTGCCACAAGTTCTACAATGACAAGAAATGAATTTTCTGAACAACCACAAGCTCTGAACCTCACATTAGACTACAGTCTTGGCCAACCCCTTGACTGAAGCTTTGTGAGATCCTGAGCAGAGGACCCTGCTAAGCTGTTTCTGAAGTCCCCAACCCATAGAGACTGAGACATAACAGTGTTATTTAAGTCACCAGGTTTGTGGTAGTCTGTTAGGAAGAAAAAAAAAAAAAAACATCAATATGACCGTCATTCTATATCCTTTCTCTGGTACCTTCATGTATCTGCCTGTCTGCTTATCTTTCTCTCTACCTACCCTGGCTGGCTCTTCTCAGTAATTAAACAAATTTGAGTCTACCCTATCTTACAAATCTAACCCTAATCACATGTCTGCTTGTAGTTACTGGTCTATTTGGCCTCCATGTCAAAGCCAAATGCCTTTAAAGAGTGGTATGGCAGATAGATGTTGCATACAGTTTACACACGGGGCTTAATCAAGATAGGGGCCCTTTATTTTTCTTTCATGTGACAAAAAGTCTGAAGGCAAGTTGTAACAGCAGCTTAAAAAATGCCTTCAGTGTCCCAGGCTGCTGCTTTCTGCTGTGTCATGTGTGGCTCCTGTGAATGTTTTTATGACTTTCCCAGTCATTTCAACTGCTTTTAAGCTGGGTATAAGGCACAAAAGGACAGGGGGAAGAAGAGACTATTTCCCTTTTAAGAAGAAATCTCTTTCTTCTCATTATACAGAACTAAGTCTCATGGCCACACCACCTCCATAAGACTTTGACAAAGATAGTTTTTAATAGGAAAGTGGATTTCTTCAACAAAATTAGGTTTGGTTAGGGAGGGAGATGGCGTCTTACTCCATATGGACTGCTCTAACAAAATGCCCAAGTCTGGGTAGTTTATAAACAGTAGAAGTTTACTCATGTTGGCTGGAAAGTCCAACATGAAGATGCCATGTCTGATGAAAGACTTGGCAAGATACAAAAGGGCTCCCTCAAACCTCCCTTCTAAGGGCATCAGTTCCATTCATGAGGGTGAAACCCTCATCAGCTTATCACCTAAAGGGCCCACCTCTTAGTGCTCTCACTGGGGATTAAGTTTCAATTTGTAAATATTTCAGGAACAAATATTCAGACCATAGCAGTCTATACCCTCACAGGGCACCAAACCCACTAGTATCTTGATCTTGGACTTCCCAGCCTCCAGAACTGTGAGAAATATATCACTGTTGTTTATAAGTTATCAGTGTCATAAAGCTTCATTACAGCCTGATTGATCTGATGTTTGCTGGGCTTGACATCCACAATGAACACTAGTGTGGTGTTGTCTTCAATCTTCTTCGTGGCCAGCTCAGTGGTTAGGGGGAACTTGATGATGGCATAATGGTCAAGCTTGTTTCTGCTGGGGGCGTTTTTCCGAGGATATGTGGGCTGCCTTTGGAGCTGCTGTGTCTTGGGCCACCAGAAGTTAGATGACATGTGGATCTTCTTTTTTGTGCGTGTGTGTGGACGTTTTTCAACATCTGCCTTCTTGGCCTTCAAAGCTTTTGCAGTGGCTGCAACTTCAGGAGGGGCAGGAGCTTCCTTCTTAGCTTTTGGTGCCATCTTGGTGAAAAAAGCCCATCCACTCTTCAATCTTTTATTATAGTCTGATTTGTGTCACCATAAGGGCTTCTGAGATCATTCTTTCCAAGGTCTCCAGGACTTCTCTAGCCTATGTCCTCCAGATCTGTTTTGGTTGTCATCTTTTCCTTTCTTCATCTCACATTTCTTTTCCAAGCTTCCAAAATATATTTAAAAAAATACTGGCAGCCAGGCAAAATGGTGTGTGACGACGATAATTCCCAGCTCCTTGGGAACTGGAGGCAGGAGGAATGCTTGAACCCAGGCGTTTGAGGCCAGCCTGGGCAACATAGTGAGACTCCTGTCTCTTAAAACAAATAAACAGGGTGTGGAGGTGCATGTTTGTAATCCTAGTTACTTCAGAGGTTGAGGCAAGAGAACCATAAGTTCAAGGTCACCCTGGCCAACGTAGCCAGAACCTGTTTCAAAATAAAATAAAAAGAGCCAGGGATGTAACTCAGTGGTACATACAATACTTGCCTAGGATGTGCAAGATATTGGATTCAATTCCCAGTTTAACAAAAAAAAAAAAAAAAAATTGCAATTAAGAGTCCAAGTCCAGTACATTTTTTTTTTTTAAATTTCAAGATTGGTTTAAAGTTAAAATTTCTCCTCTCCCTCCAGCTTCAACTCGTGAACTGGAAACCTATAGCAGAAAAGATGGCTTAGAGTTCTTGATATTCCATGTAGTGCCTCTATTCCACATCTATCATTCACCAGGCTACCTCTGACTCTTCATGGATTGAAATGAGGGAGAGAGGAGAGATTAGGAACCAACAGAATTTTATTTAACTGGTCTTTATCTAGCTTGATTTATTTTGACAATGGTGTATCTAAAGCTGACTGTCTTCTGGGCCCTTTTAAGAACTTTTGGGGGGGGGCTGGGGTTGTGGCTCAATGGCAGAGTGCTTGCCTAGCATCTGTGGGGCACTAGGTTCAAGCCTCAGCACCACATAACAAATAAAATAAAGGCATTCTGTCCATCTACAACTACAAAAAGAAAAAAAAAAGAACTTTTTGGAAACCTCCTCCACCCACCAATGTTATATTTCATGCAGGCGAGTGCATATCCTTGTCTGGTCATGTTAGTGTACTCTTTGATCCCTGATTATTGCCAAAGTGTTTCTAAAGAGGTCTCCTTCCTCCTCAAGATGCAGTCCTGCGCAAGATCTAAGGCAATAGCTTCTTCCTCTTCCTTTCCCAAGTTCTACTTTTGTTCTCTCTCCCACCTGCCATCTGATTCATGGAAACTTTTAAGGGTATACCTGCTTCACTCAAAGTTTTGCTGCCATAGGCTGCTTCAGTCAGCACATTGTTCTTTGTATATTTCAGGCGTGAGTCATCTGATTTATCCATTGGTTTTCCTAAATTGTGAGAGTCCATATAACTCAGTCTATAAGCTCTTTAAGTGACCTCTCTCTGACTCCGGGATCAGGGGAAATTATCCCTACCTTTTTCCTCCTCCTTTCTTACGGGAGTATGCTGTGCCTCAAAGCAAACTCTCCCTACAAAAATCCTCTGATTTCTAACTCTCTCTTGTTCCCCCAATCTTCACTTACCTACAGGTCATCCAAGGGTCCTGGCATATTCTTGTTTACCTCCTTGCAAATCTTGCTCTGGTGGACTCAGTTTGGAATGTGGGGGTGGTATTTGTCTTGGCGAATTTGCAAAAATGAAACAGAAATTGTATCATTTTATCATTAAGATATAATAAGTAGTGTGATGTACATCTTCTTCCCCAGTTTCATAAAATTTCAGTAAAACATCCATTTCTTGTCAAGGGTTTCCATCTCTCTCTTTTTGGTACTGGGGATTGGACCATGAGCCACTTAACCACTGAGCCAATGCCCAGCCATTTTTATTTTTAAACTAAGTTGCTTAGGGCGTTGCTAAGTTGCTGAGGCTGGCCTTGAGCTTGTAATTCTCCTGCTTCAGCCTCCTCACTAGGTTAAGGGGTGTGCCAACCATGCTGGCTTTCATCTATTCTGAAAGAGAGGAAGATACACTGAGTGTGGTCTTTTTTTTTTTTCCTCCAGTAATTCAATAATTTATTCCTCTAAAAAGTATGTAAAAGTATATAGCTCTCATCCACAAGGTATATATGAATGGCATTTAAAATGGAGGACTTTAATTATTTTTTAAAGAGTTTTTTAAAAAAATATCTTTCATTTTTATTTATTTTTTAATGTGGTGCTGAGGATCAAACCCAGGGCCTCAGGCATTCGAGGCAAGACTCTACCACCTGGCCCCTTATTGTTTCTTTTTATCAAAGTCTTTTAGTGTACTGTACCAGTACTATACTGTAGTTTTTTTTTTAATGAACTTCACATATTTTTGTATTCTTTCAAATTATTTGCTATATATAAAAGAATCTCACTGCAAAATGCTTGAAGGACAAAAGAAAACAAAAGAAATTCAGAACTTCCCAGAAGTTTTCCATTTAAAAAAGATTCTGAAATATACATACAAGCATGCTGGACAATCCTACCCTTCTCCCCTTCCCACTGTCCCTTTTTAGTTCAAACTTTGGTAAGAGTTCTGATTTCTGCAGAATTTCCAAAAATTAAAAATAAAATAAAATAAAACAACTTTTCACTGAGTGTGGTCTTAATGTGAATGTGAGTCAACTTATAGTTAGATTATCACATCTGGATGATATCTGGTGCCATAATGACCAGAATATTCAAACTAATATGTATTATCTGTCAACAACCTGGACCAAATGCCACCTTACAAATGAGCCCAATGTGTGCATTCTTTTTTAAAAAATATTTTTAGTTGTAGATGGACACAAAAACCTTTATTTATCTATTTTTATGTGGTGCTGAGGATCAAACCCAGTGCCTTACACGTGCTAAGCAAGTGCTCTGCCACCAAGCCACAACCCCAGCCCTGATGTGTGCATTCTTAACAAAGATGCCAAATTGTTGGACTTGTGGTATAAGAGAGGATATCAACCTGGCAAGAGCTGTGATGGTCCTTGGAGTATTTCCTTGAAGTAAACTGTAAGATGAGTTTTAGATGTTGGTGAGGGTGTGGTGAAATAGAAATCCAAGTAAATTATATAGAAGGAAATCTTTAAAAATATCTTATGAAGTCCCATGCTAGGTGTGCATAATCCAGCCCTAAAGGATGCAGTTTCTTTAGAAAAATATAGTGTTTCCTGGGAGGGGAGAGGAAGAGTGTGGCAGCCCCTACCATACCTCACCAGCTAAGATTCCATAGAGAGTGAATGGCTGTCCTGGGCCTGGCAACCAAGTGGGGATAAGACTACTTATCTATGATACTTGCTGTCATAAACCAGAGAAATCTTTGGAGAATACAGAACCAGAAAGATTTTGAATTGTATTACAATATTCTAGTGAAATGTTTTAAGTATGGTAGATCCTGGGGGTAGAGAAGTAACTGAGATGAAGAGAAAGTTTGTACAATTTGGCACTAGGAATTCTAATTGGACTGACTGCCAGTTCACATTTTTTTTTTTTCTGTGATGGAATGCTTGAGAGCACTCAAAAGCATACCTGGTAACCTGAGGAGTCCCTGGAATTTATGTTGAGTGATCACATGTCAACAGGAAGAGGGAAACTCTGCAGTCTGGGAAACAAAACAAATCTACAATGTCATGAGATCTTCACCATCTCTCAAGTTCTTGCTGTTGGTAAATCTAATTTAGGAGGGAAAAGGAAAAGAAGTACTATTTTCCAAGTGAGACCTGAAGTCCTAGTATAAATTTATTGGGATGATAAAGTATGCTACAGCTCCCAAAGAAACAGATCCTCATAGGTAAGAAGTGTGTGTGTGTGTGTGTGTGTGTGTGTGTACAGAGCACCCCTGGAGCCTGTCAGAGATTATTACATGCCCCCAAATATGATTAATTTCTGATAAGTTTGGACACAGAAATGTTTGCTGTGACTTTCTCAAGCACCAAACTTTGAGACTTCTCAAATCTAGGTATGTTAGGACATTGCAAAATGAGCCAAGAACCAATATACGTGTAAGTAGTATTCATTCCTTTGTGTTATACATGAGGCAACTGCAGATCAGGTGATTGGCTGAAGGTTACAGAGTTAATAAGCCTCAGTTTTGAGTTAGAACAAAAGTCTCCTGCCTTCAGTTCTCATTTTATTCACCCACATTGCTTTTATTCAAATGGCTGACACTATCTCACTATCTACAACGTCAGATGGTTTCCTCTGTTTCAGAATCCAAACATTTCAATGTAGGTTTTTTTTTTTTTTGTATTAGGGATGAAAACAGAGGTACTTTTACATTGAGCTACATTGTCAGTCCTTGTTATTTTTGAGACAGGGTCCTGATAAATTGCTGAGGGTCTTGTTCAGTTGCTGAGGCTGATCTTGAACTTGTGATCCTCCTGCCTCATCTTCCCAGAGTCGCTGGGTTTACAGGCATGTGCTACCATGTCTGGCTTGGTTTAGGTTTTGCATGATGTGTTCTGACATAATCATTAGTATCCATTTATTTTTATTTATTTTTATTTTTTGAGTACTGGGGATTGAACTTAGGGACATTCAACCACTGAACCACGTCTCCAGCCCTGTTTTGTATTTTCTTTAGAAACAGGGTTTCACGGAGGCTTTTGCTGAGGCTGGCTTTGAACTTGTGATCCTTCTGCCGCAGCCTCCTGAGCCCCTGGGATTATAGGCATGTACCACCGCACCTGGCTCATTAGTATCCATCTTTTCTTGAACGTTTTTAGAAATTCTGCTTTCTTTGGCACTGAAATTCTTGCTTCCACACTAAGACCAAGTGCTTCTGGGAAAGCTGATATCACATCCAACTTAAGAGTGGATGTGAAATTCAGTCTTACTGTGACTTCAGAGTTTGATTCATGGATAACTATGTAACCCATTCAGAGTCAATGTATCATAAGAAACCTGTGTGGAGATTGTTGGGAAAGAAGAATTTTCTTTCTGCTGAAATTTATTTTTTCTTTTCTTTTGTCTTTCTTTTTTAAAAATATT